AATATATGATTTTCATATATTTATTCTATCTCATTTATCACTTTCACGGGTTCATTACGAATCAACTTAACGGCCTGCTCTCAGTTGGCTTGTTAGCTCAATTGGTTAGAGCGCTGCACTAGTATCGCAGAGGTCAGTGGTTCGAGTCCCGTACAGGCCTGATTTTTTTCAGGTCTGAATTTCGCTATTGCTTAAATAGCGCTATCTACTGCGAGGATCGTGCATCATACGTATCAAATACCGCAGTTCAATATATGATTTTCATATATTTATTCTATCTCATTTATCACTTTCACGGGTTCATTACGAATCAACTTAACGGCCTGCTCTCAGTTGGCTTGTTAGCTCAATTGGTTAGAGCGCTGCACTAGTATCGCAGAGGTCAGTGGTTCGAGTCCCGTACATGCCTGATTTTTTTCAGGTCTGAATTTCGCTATTGCTTAAATAGCGCTATCTACTGCGAGGATCGTGCATCATACGTATCAAATACCGCAGTTCAATATATGATTTTCATATATTTATTCTATCTCATTTATCACTTTCACGGGTTCATTACGAATCAACTTAACGGCCTGCTCTCAGTTGGCTTGTTAGCTCAATTGGTTAGAGCGCTGCACTAGTATCGCAGAGGTCAGTGGTTCGAGTCCCGTACAGGCCTGATTTTTTTCAGGTCTGAATTTCGCTATTGCTTAAATAGCGCTATCTACTGCGAGGATCGTGCATCATACGTATCAAATACCGCAGTTCAATATATGATTTTCATATATTTATTCTATCTCACAGCCATCTAAATAAACCAGTCATAACACACTATGATACACGGCAATATTGAAGTTCCTTTCATTTTTGGATACTTGATGGTTATCACTTTCTTTCGCACATATCTGTTCATAAGGTTCACATTTTAACTCCTAAAATCTGGTGAGTAATTCTCCTTGCTGTCTGCCGTACCTCCTTGCTGTCTGTGAGTTTGGACAATTTGGTATTGGATCAACCATTAAATTCTCCTAATTCATATTTTTCTTTATTTTAAATTCATCTCATGTCTGCTTGATGTTGTATATTGATACAGTACGGAAAAATTCTGTCTTTGTCACTCACATGAGCTAGAGGCTAATGAATTTAATTTTGATTTCATTTACAGCGCAGAGAAAGAGAGATTTTATCTAGAATTTCACGGCCGACAAGTATGCCAGCAACAACTCTGCCTACCACTCAATAGTAAGTACTACAATATTGAGCAAGGGCTGACTGAGATAAAAACTCAACATTATTGAAAATCAAAAAAGACGTAAGGCCTTATCTAAAATTAACATTATTAATGTACTTAGAATGTAGTCCTATTTCAATCTAGTAATGTTTGTAATCAACAAGAATTGACTTATCATTTCTCATCCAACCGCACATTATTTTTTCAAAAACTTAGTTGATGAATGTAAATTGGCCAACGTAAAAGAGTTCCTAAAGGTGATGTTCCAAGTGTTAGCGGCACCATCTCCATTCATTTTGATGAATTCAGAAGGGCTAACGCTCCAAATGTCAGCCAAAGAAACTCTTTATGGTGATGGATGTACATCATCCAGGGTTCCCGCGCTCCTTGAAAGCCCTTGAATTGAGTTCCTGAAAAAGTGCAAAAACCCTGATCATCAACTCAGTTGTTGAAACCAAATTATCTTGTACTGTCCCCACTGATACTTGCCGGCCACAGTTTGTTTAGAAAGTTACCCCTGCCATTTATTTTTCGATTAGTTCCAGCATTGGTCCTACTTATGGTGCATCCTTAAGAACAGGAGAATTAGGTGGCAGAACAGTTGGGTACCCTTCTTCAGGTGTTGCAAACATAGGAGCAGAGTTTGGTATCAGACAATCAAGTGCACAAATAGATGAATTGAAAAAGAAGCTAAAAATGGTAAATATGGATGACATGGTACATGTAAACAGTGCAAAGTATGTGACATGATATAGATATTTTCAAAGTAGAATCATACAGCTAAATAAAATCTTGCATTCTGATTGGTTAACAGAGGTAGGTATTTAGCATGAAATCCCAAGTTGAAAATGAGGCTAAGTGATATTTTTTTGCATCTCTTGTTTCTTGCTCAGGATAACAAGAAACAACGTAATTGCTGTTTTCTTTTTTTTCTCATTTTTTTATTCGATTATGTGATTCAAGGATTGTGCTGTCAAGGATGGTGCTTTGGGTGCCCTTTTCTATGTATTAATTTTCTAATATTTTTTTTTTCAAAAGGAGTAGCAACATTTGTTAGTTGAAGTGAATGTTAAGACCCCTTAAGTTTAAACTGCCTCATACCTGTATTACTTAAAATGGAATTTTGTTTGTAAACAGACTACAGAGCTTTGTGCAAAACAAGATACATATTACAGAGAGGTTATTGTTGAACTTGAAAATCGACTTAAGGAAACCATTGCAGGAAGGGATCACGTTTTAGCACTCAGGTAAGTAACATATCTCAGAATTTTCTATTTACTTAAAATGCAATTGAGCCATATTGGTTTCTTTACAGGTTGTGAAATACTTGAAAGTTAAGTCAAATGCTTGGTTTTATTAACATTTGACCTGTTTATGTACATCTGATTATACATAATGGTATATTTTGACCCAATCAACCACCAAGATCTGATTGTCACAGCTGGTGTAAATGTAGGGTTTCCATCACTGTTTCCTCCCCTGTGGCTGCTACACATTTCCTTGTAAATTTGTGACAAGAGTTTAGTGTCAGATCAAAATAACATCCATCTGATAGGTTTGATTTTTCTTATTACACGTGGGAGAATCTATGGATATTACATGGAGAAGTTACATGTTTTTAAATCACTTTTAGGATTTACATGGTTAAGTAATTCCCTCAAACTATACAAAAAGGTACTTTATATTATAGAGCTCTATAACCGAATTTCTTGTTTTAAATTAAAGTGAAATGCTTTTTGCGAGTCCAACTCTCTCTTTCCATGATACATTTGTCTTTCTCTAAAGAATCACTCACTGATCCAACAGTATTGCAGTTACTGTACAAATTCAATCCTCATTTAAAGACGGTTTCTCAAATGTCTCTTAAGTCAATACTCATTGTGCCTCATGTCATTGTACATGTACAATCTACATGTATGTGGTTTGTTGAAAGTGAACTGAATCTCAGTGCTTCACCTCTGCAATGTAAAGCAGTTTTCAATCGAGTTTCAAATACCCAAAACCAACGTAATTTCATCGACCAATCAACAAAGGTTTACAGTGTACATTGTCATTAGCCAATGATAACTCAAAGTGAAAACTATTTGTGCATGAATAAAGGGTGTAAGTTTCTGAACAAACTGAAGTGCTGCGTAGGTGGGGGAGTGGAACGAGATAACTATACATATGATGCACGATCCTCGCAGTATCTAATACCACAGTACAAAATATATGAACTTCATATATTTCATTGTATCTCGAGATAACTATAGTTGTTAATTGTTTTGTCATCTGTAATCACAGGGAAAATGAAGCAGCAGGTCAGTTACAGTTGATCCACCAGTTGGAGGCTGGACTGAGAAAACAACAACAGGCTATAGATGCAAAGGATCAGGTACATAACAAGCGCTCTCTCCTTTGGCTTGTTTTGCGTCTGAGAATAAAATAGTTTCCACGAAACTGCGGATCGAGATTATCTGAAAGTCCTTAATGCGTCTCGACTCTAGATCTTCGATTCTTCGAGTTTCGAGTCGAGATTGTCGACTTACTTTTTTTAGCGATACGGTATTACTTTAATTTCCCTCAAAAAATCTTTCAGGATTTTATGATTTACCCTCGTGCGTCTGACCTCCAATATGTCATATGTAAGAACCAATCAGAATGCGTGTATCATTGACCTTGTCTGATTTGAAATGTAAATGCCTTACTGTGCAATTTTTAAACTTGTCTCGTTTTATTTCAGACTTTAACTAAGATGGAATCAGATATGAGGAAACTTGAAGTAGAGTTAGCGCATCATAAAGTTTTCCTGGACAAAGTGAGAAGAATATCATTGGAAGAAGAGAAGAAGAGATTCCGCTCAGGACTAGTTACCAGTGCATTGGAGAACAACGTTTCTGTCGGCCAGATAGGGGATACTCTAGTAGAAATCCTTCAGAAATGTCTCTTTGATGATGATAACGAGAAAAAAACGCTGCAGTCAAAGTTAGAAAGGGTAAGAGAGATGGTACGCTCACATTTTATGCACTCATTCTGTTGTGGCTGGTCGACACGCGGCCGTCGCCTAGGCTCTTACACGGGACATCTAAGGTTTCGTGCATGCGCGGTGGCGGAACCTTCGAACGTTGCCACGAGGCCACCGAGTTAAAACCTCTCTCTATTTATCGTTCAGTTTTCCTCGATTTTTTGTCTTAATGTTGCGTAAAACACAGTAACATTTAGTGCGAGTTTTCTCGAAGCCTTCGTGAAGGATTTTGGATTAAAGTTTTTGATTTTGCAAGGTTAGTCACCGTTCGTGGCGACACATTGTGCTACAGTATGATCTTTATTGAACTGGTTTACCAAATAACAAAAAGTAACCTAATTGATTTTAGTAAACAGTCCTGTTGCAAATTAATCGGCTGAATCAATTCCAGTTTCTGAGCAACTGCCTACCTACGTACCCCTCCCTTAACCAAACAACAGTTAGCTGATAACAAATTAGGGTTAATGTTGGGTTAGGGGAATGGTACCTGTACATGTGGGTACGCTGTTGTTCGTTGCATGATATTTTTCGATGCGTTTTTTTTTTTTTGGCTTTTTCTTGGTCGAGAGTTCACCACGCACATGTTGTAATCTGCAAGTAACTGCCTAGAAATACATGCTGTTCTTCTAGTACTTAATACCGTCGAGTGGTGTTCCATTGCAGTTAATATTCTACTCAACCTCATTCTTCCCCCGTGCCAGAAAGTGATTTCCTGAAAATGATTTTGAACAAACAAATCAGTGATCGAATTATAAAAATAAAACAAAACAAAGCAAAATGAAGTGAAAAAGAATGTCGCAGTTAGTTTTCACAAAGAAAAAACTTCATTTCCTTTTGTCTCTCTGATCACTTTCCACAGGCAATAATTGATCTTTTGTGCATTATAAAATCGCGAAATCTTGCTCAGTCTCGTTCAATAATTAATGTAATGTTTGTGCGCACTGTACACTCTGTAGGTGGAGACAGATCTGAAATGCGGCAAAGAACGAATGGATGCCACACAAGATGAATTGCAAAGGGACTACAAAGCCAGGTGAGAAAGTGCAGTCAGCGATTTCCGACAGCCAAAAATTTCAGTTTTACTTTCAGGGAAGTAAAATTGAAGTAAAAGAACTGCAAATTTTTCGAACTTCCGGTTACTCTTTCTTCACGTGGTGTTTTTGTAACAGTTTCACATACTATAGGTTTCGTTTATCGAACTGAGTGCATCTTCGGTAACGGTTGTCCCAACGGGACGCCATATGTTTTTCTTCGCCTACTTGGCGCTACATATTAACTTTGTAATCTCGCCCTACCCAGCCAGTTAGCGAGCGTCAACAGCACTATTCATATGCAAGGCTGTGCTCTAGCAGTGCCCTGTGGCCCCTGGCGCCTTACTTTTGCTCTTGGGCGACTCGTAAATTTTAGTTTTTTCATACAAAGCATAATATGCTGGGCACCCTGGATTACACAGTTTCAGAGCACTGGGTTCCATTCAATTTTCCTTAGAGCACAGCCTTGATATGTAATTATACTAATATATGTTATTAAAAACTGGATCATTGGATATTGCAATTCAATACTTTTTATTGGCTTAGCTATTATGGTATATGAGCCAATATACCATAATCTAATATATGTACATTGTAACATCCGGTTTCTTCTTACAAAATAAAGTCGAGAAGATTTGTCTAACGTCTTGGGGTAGCTTTTTTTTTAATAAAACAATTATTCCACTCGCGCTTGTTGGATATGAGATGATAGATAGATATGAGGTGATAGATAGTTTTCGAGGCTACGCGCCTCGTTGGCTATCTATCATCTCATATCCAACAAGCGCGAGTGGAATAATTGTTAATTAGCTAGGGTATATGGTGTACAAGTGCGAAACAACACACAAATATATTGACTTTATATATAAAAAAAAAATCCCTGTTTTTAGAATCTCGAAGCTGGAAGAGGAACACAATCAGGCGCTAGATTCCTCAGCCAACAAAGCTGTCCAGTTGAGGAAAGAGCTGGACAGTTTACAAGAAGAAACGGATAAACTCAGGTTAGTAACTCTGGTAACTGCTGTGTTTGCGTAAGCCAAGTTCCTTTTTATGTGAGTGGTCTGCACATGTGGATCTATTCTTAACTGAGTCCTGGGGCCTAATTTTTACAGAGGGCAACATCAAATAGAAGTTTCTGCACTGGATGACAAAGTAAAATGCCTCCAACTAGAGCTGGAAAAGACTAGAAAAGCAAGTCACGAAATCTCACTGCAATTGGAAACAAAGGTGCGTATGTTATTAGTGATACTTTCTAGTGTTTTTCGTCTTTTTGAGCATCTCTTGGAAAAGAGTTATCTCGAAACATCATGTGTTCAAGGAATAAGGGGTGAGTGATACCGGGGACTCCGAAATAGTCGTGGGTTCAAGTTACTAGAGGTTCAAGAATCGGACGCTTGAGCAACCGGGAGTCGTGATGTTATTATATACACTCATCGTAGGATAAAATTTCACCAGTGAACCTCTGGCATTAGTCAGCAGATAGGTATGCGTTCTACAGGGTTCCCGCGCCCCTTGAAAGTCCCTGAATTTGATCTTTTGTTTTCAAGGACTTGAAAAGTCTCGAATTTAGACTCAGATCCTTGAAAAGTTCTGAAAAGTCCTTGAAAATGAGTGCAGATGAATCGAAGTCGAACTTTTCTTTTGTTCCCGGTGTTGAAAGTGTAAGTTTCTAGCACAAATCGCGAAAACGACTTTTCCTTTCAAATCCCACGTCTGACGTGAGTGTGTTTCTGTTGCTTTTAATAATAAAGAGCAATGTTTTTTATTTCTATTAGCTCCTATTTAATGCGGAAGGTCCTAGAATTTAAGAGCCAAGGTCCTTGAAAATGACTTAAAAAGTTCTTGAAAGTCCTTAAATTGGGTTCCTCAAAAGTGCAAAGTGCAAGAACCCTGGGCCTAACCTCGTAATAAAAAGGAGTTCGATTTAAATGACTATTCAGTGCGAACAGTTTGACTCACTCCTTGAATCCTTTGTAAAATAAATTACCGGAAATGGGCTTGAGAAACGTTTCAAAATTAAGTGGAGTCCCCGGCTGTGGACTTTTCATTGTTTCACAGTACTATTACCTTCAATACAATAGACTTCAAACCTTGATGTTTGCCTTTCCTCAAACATTAATGAAAACATCTCTGTTCTTTTTCGTAATAATAGTTCGTTTTCCTTCCCTTAGATCAAAGGGTTGGAATCCACCATTCGGGAATTGACTGCTGAACTTCAAGTTGTGAAAGAGGAAAAACAGAATTTACTGGCACGTGTTTCGCAAGAGCAAGCAAATGTTATTTCTGTGAACGAGAAGCTTAAAGCTATAGAGAAACTTCGACAAGAGACAGAAACAAGGAACGAAAGTCTTAGCAAAGAATTGGCCGTACTTCGAGAAACGTGGCGTGAGGAAGCCAACAGTTTAAGAACTGATATAAGTGAAAAGGATAAACTAATGAAAGACATTCGCGAAGAGAGTGCTAAACTTCGAGAAAGTGAAGTCGAAAGAGCAATCAATCAGGAAAGAGAGAAGGCGAATGCGCGTCTGGATGGTCTCTTAAACGAGCTTACGAAATCCAATCAGGGCATTTCGACTTTGACGGCCGATTTAGAAGGAAAAAAATTGGAATTATCGAAGCAGTGGGAAGAAAATATCAAATTGAGAGATGATGTAGATTTGAGAACTAAGGAAATGAACCTTATTATAGAGGAAAAACTTCGTTTAGCAGCGGAACTTGAAAAAAGACACGACGAAAATGTTAATCTGCGAAGAGAAGTTGAAGAATTGAGTAGAACTTTAGAGGCAAAATCAAAGGATCTCTCCGAAGTTGAAAACTTTGTAGGTAAACTCCAAACTCAGCTCAATGAAAGAGAGAAGGCCATAGAGAATTTCCAAGTGCAAGGAACAAACCTTGCTGAAATTATTGAAAGAAACAGTCAAACGGGTGACTCATTACAACGTGAAAGGGAGCAACTCATTCGAACGCTGGAGGACAGAATCAGCGAGGTCGAAGAAATGAAGAGTCATCGCGAAATCTTAGCGAAAAAATTGAGGGCAAAGGACAAACGTGTTAAGGAAATGGAAGAGGAGAGAAACACTATTAAAAACAGTTTAAACATTAAGCAAGAGGAGTTGGACGCTTTGATGGAGGACCGAAGTAACATTATGGCGGAACTGAAATTGCGGCAAATTGAAGTGACGAAGTTAAAAGAGGAAAACAGTTCATTGAGTTCACTGATCGAAGGACAGCATGGAGAGCGAGAGAAGGAGATCACCAAATTGTTATCTCGATTAAAAGGTGATACAAATAGTTCTAAACCCTTACACCCTAATAATATTATTTATATTCTCCACAGTGAGCACATGCACAGCAGATAGTGTTTAATAACAGCCTGCGTCGAAAAAAAGCGCATGTCAGTATTCAGTTGGTGATTATTTCCTTCATGTTCGTGATCCTAATGTTTGCTTCAGAGGTGATGATTCGTTTCTCCGCCCGCTGTCAAGTACCAGGCCTTGAGTAATGCTAGCCGGCGAAAAGTCTGCCAGGGGTCTGGTAATGATAAACTTCTCCCCGATCTCTTCCCGCAAGCGAAGAAACGCGCGTCCCACAGCGCTAACAATGAGCCCTCTCCCCTCCCCCCTCTTCACACTCGTCGATTTTTTGCTGGCTTTTGCCCCATGCCCTCGCACGGCCCATGCCTCTGTCGCTTGCATGAAAGAAAGGAAAGAATTGAATGAATCAAGCTTGTCGATGTGATTGCCACTTTTACTTAGGAAAAAAACTTTCAAAATTACTAACACAGGGATAATAAAGTACGAATTTAGACTTCCATTTCTTAACATAAAATGAATGTATAGAATGGAAGAGAGAACTAAGAAATATGTTTTATTTACTTTGTTATTTACAAGACACTATACTTTTTCTATGTTTGTCTCCAAAGGTTCTGAGCAGGACTTGGCTTTAACGCGGAAACTATTGAAAACGAAAGGAGATATGAGCGGGAAAGGTGAGTATTGCTGCTTAGCGCAATTTGAACGTCTTGTATTTTCGTTGAGGAATTTCTGAGGTAATAATAAGTCTCCTCTGATTAGCCCGTGATCCGCTTCGTGATTTAGGTTCTTTGTAACTGTATTGAAAACAAAGTGCTGCTTTACAGCTAAGATCTTAATGGGAGTTCTCGTCTTTTCGTAAAATCCTGCGTGAGGTGATAACCATATGCATGTACAGTTTCTGAGGAACTGCGCGCCTACCCCTCCACTAACTCTCCATAACTTGTTATCTGTTGACTTTTGTTAGCTTAGAGAGAGGGGTGGTGGGGCGTAGGTGGCCAGTTGCTCAGAGAGTGACATTGATCCGTAAATTTTGCTTTCAACTGACGTAAAAACCGTGAAATACTATTTGGAGGGAGAAGTGTGTTGTTTGAATGTTGAACGCTCTAATTCACGACAAGTTAACTCTTTTTCGCCACGTCTAAAGTTTACCTCTGAATGAAAACCGTTGATTGGTAGTAGACTGAGGTGGACAAGGAAAAAAGACGAAGGAATGAGGCCCTCGAAGGCTGATGGACAAGATTATCATAGACTGCTACTAGAGCGTTTTCCGGTTCATCACAGGCCAATCAAAAGGAGGGAGAATACCTTTTAGAGCCGATGAAAACTCAAAGTAAACAAAATCAAACTGCCTAGAGTGCGGAAAAACGCGGGGGACTAAGTCGTGATTTGTTTTACTTTTGCATCTGATTGGTTGAGAGGGGAGCGAATTTTCTGGACCAATCGGGAAGCAGTCCCGGAATACTTTCGACACTCAGTTAAAAACAGCTCTGATTACGAATTAGGTTCAGTTTTGTCTCATAGTCATGTGTGTTTGTTTGTTTGTTTGTTTGTTTTTTTTTTTTAATGTATTGTCATAAAACAAAAATTTGAAGCAGTTTCTTTAAGTTAAAGCAAACGTCAACTTTGAAGGCTAAGCGGTTTTGCCTATTTGTTTTAAAAGCTGTACGAGTGGCAGGTGCTATGCAAGAGGAGGTCACCGCCAAGCGTGGAGAACTAGACGCCATGCAAAACAAGTTAGTTATCCGCAATTTGATTTCATTTAACATTTTACTTTTTCTCTGTTAAGTACGATACGATGAAGAAACACGTATTGACTGTTTTTTTCCTGTTGTGTAGAATTCACTGGTTAACAGAAAGTCTGAATAACGTCTCCAAGGTAAATTGCACTTTGTTCGTGTATCCCCATAATGCAAAGACGGGTTCTAACCTATTATCAGTTGTAACGTTCTTTTATTTAACAATTATTCCAC